TCTCCTTCTTAGCTTCCCTACCTCTGATCTCCCTCCATCTGACTCACCTTACACACCACTGCAGCCCAATCTTTCTTAAATAAATCTTGGATTGCAAGACTCCCTTTCTTCAAATAATCCAAAGCAGAAATGTGATGAATAAGAGAAGCTCAGAATACACATATTCATCATTAGAATCTACATATGTACTTTACATATTTACAATCTACACAAAATAGATCTAGTCCCCTTTAGCTGCTGTAACCTATGACCACAAACCTGATTGCTTAAAAGAGCAAAATTTTACTTTCTTACAGTCTCAGATATCAGAGGTTCTAAATCAGTTTCACTGAGCTAAAGTCAAGGTGTCGACAAGGCTGGTTCCTCAGAGGCTCTGATTTGTTTTCCTGCCCTCTTCAGTTTCCATGGGCCAACATGTTTCTTCGTTTCTGGTCCCTTCCTACATCTTCAAAACACATCACTCCAATCTCTGCTACTGTCATACATTATCTTATTGTCAAACTATCTTCTCCTGTGCTCCTCTTATAAAAATAGCTGTGCTCACACTGAATCCACCTGAATAAATGCAAATTAAAATTACAAAGCAAATCACCACTACAAACTGCAAAATATAGGTACAGGGCCTAAGTTGAAGAACCTTAGCATTAGTAATGATTTACCTATCAAGGTAAACTTTCAGTTATACAAGTCATTACTGCACATCTGTTTTCACAGATTTGGAAAACTACAGTATTGACTCAAACCTAAAGAAATGATCATAAGTTTTATAGCTGTAGTATCTATAAATGGAAAAAGAAAAAGAAAAAAAAAACTTTGCTTCAACAGAGTGCCTTTGCTTCATTACCCTAACTTCTTCTGTTATTATTTTGAGATATTTTAATAAAAGAGACACTGTAGGGGAATAAGAGGCAGGAGTGCACAGGTATAGAGTGGGAAGGTTTGTGTTACCTGCCACCCTCAGAATACGAGGTGAACTGGAACAGCAACATTCAGAGCTCTGCTTCCCTCCTCACCCCAAGGTGCAACTAGCAGAGTGCCCAGTATAAGGTGAGTTTTCGATAGATATTGAATGAACATCCTTCAGAATAAAGATGTTAAAAAACTGACTAAGTGGCTTAAAGAGTCAGGCTTTAGGGTTCTTTTTAATAACCCTAAGGCTATCTATTTGATGTTAGTAAGCAGTAAGTACAACAGCACCTAGAAGACATGTTGCTGTTGTTACTAAGTACCATCGAGTCGATTCTGACTCATAGCAACCCTGTATATAGGGTTTCCTAGGAGCAGCTGGTGGGTTTGGACTGCCGACCTTGTGGTTTGAAGTCCAGTGGTGATCCTACAGTGCTAAATAGCACACATGAGCAAGATAGAGGAAAACATTGGCTGAGGGTCTGAAATGAATGAAGCTCCAAAATAAAACAATTATTTTATTTGTGCCTCTTAGGTCAAAACCCTGCCTTAATGATCCTGTTAGTCTTTTTGTTGTTTTGTTGCTAATGTTATTTTGCCTTGCTTATCCCATATAGGTCTGCTTCATTCTTCTATTGTTGGTGGTGTTATATGTCATCCAGTTGGCTCCGATTCTTAGTGACTCTAGGACAACAGAACAAAACACTGCCCAGTTCTGTATCAGCCTCACAATTGTCGCTGTTTGAGCTCACTGTTGCTACCTCTGTGTTAATCCATCTTGTTAGGGATCATCTTCTTCATTGACCCTCCACTTTATTGCGAACGGTGTCCTTCTGCAGGGATTGGTCCCTCCTGACAATATGTCCAAGCAGGAAAACCAAAGACTCATCATTGTTGTTAAGTGCCGCCGAGTCGGTTCCGACCCATAGCGACCCTGTACAGGGTTTCCGATGGTGTAAATCCTTATGGGAGTAGAAAGCTTCATCTTTCTCCCGCGGAGCAGCTGGTAATTTCAAACCGCTGACCTTAAGGTTCACAGCCCTATTCGTAACCACTACGCTACCGTTATACTCGCTGCTAAAGAGCATTTTGGCTGTATTTCTTCCAAGACAGATTTGTTTTTTCTTCTGGCTGTCCATAGTAATTTTAATATTTTTATCCAACAGCATAACTCAGATACACCGATTCTTATGTGGTCTTTCTTATTCAGTGTCCCACTTTCACAAATATATGAAGCAATTAAAAATATCATGGTTTGGGTCAGGTGTAGCCTTAGTACTCAAAACGCTATCTTTGATCTTTAACACTTTAAAGAGGTCTCCTGCTGCAAATTTTGACTAATGCAATATGTTGTTTGATTTCTTGACTGCTGCTTTCACGAGTGTTGATTGTGGATCCAAGCAAAATGAAGTCTTTGACAGCTTCAATCTTTTCTCCCTTTATCATGATGTTATTTATTGGTACAATTTTTGTTCTCTATATTCAGGTAGTGTAGTGGTTACGAATCAGGCTGCTAACCTCAGGGTCTGCAGTTTGAAACTACCAGCTGTTCCGTAGGAGAAAGATGAGGCTTTCTGCTCCTGTAAAGATTTATAGCTGCAGAAACCCTGCACAGGGTCACAATGAGTCAGAACCAACTCCACGGCACATAACTACTACTGCTATACTCAGGTGTGATACACTCACTGCAAAGTCAGCAGTTCAAACCCACCAGCTACTCCTTGGGAACCTTATACATTCTCACTATGAGTCAGACCCTACTTGACATCACTTAATAACAACATACTCAAGGTCATATTTTGGCTCATATGCATTTGTTTTAATTTTCTTTAGCTTCAGCTTGAACTTGCATATGAGCAACTGATTGTCTATTCCACAGTAAGCCCCTGACCTTGTTTTGGCTGATGATACTGAGATTCTCCATCATCTCTTCCCACACATGTAGTCAATTTGATTCCTTGTCTGTTCCATCTGGTGAGGCACACGTACATAGCCACCTTTTATGTTGAAAAAGGGTATTTGCAATGAGTAAGTTACTCGTCTTGAAAATTCTACCATGCAATCTTCAGCATCATTTCTATTACTAAGGCCATATTTTCCAGCTACCCATTCTTCTTCTTTGCTTCCAACTTTTGTATTCGTAGCAATTTTCAATGCATCTTGATTGCAAGTTTGATCAAATTCAGACTGAAGAAGTTGGAAGAATTCTTCAATATCACCATCACTGACTTTAGTGATTGGTGTGTAAATGTGAATAACAGTTGATATTAACTGATCTTCCTCATAGTCATATGGACATTATCCTATCACAGACAGCATTGTACTTCAAGATAGTTCTTGAAATACTTTTTTTGACCATGAATGTGATGGCATTCCTTTTCGATTTGTTGTTCCTGGCATAGTAAACCATACGATTGTCTGATTCAAAATGGCCAACACCGGTCCATTTCAGCTCACAAATGCCTAGGATACCAATCTTTACATGTCCTATCTTATTTTCGATGACTTACTGGTGTGGCATTGTAGGATAAGCACTGGACTGTAAGGTCAGTTTGAACCACAAAGTCAGTAGTTCAAACTCACCAGCTTTGGAAACCCTATACAGGGTCACTATGAGTTGGAACTGACTCGGCAGCATTTAACATAAATAACAGCAATTTCCCTAGCTTTATACTTTGTACATTCTATGCCTCAATTAATAATGTGTGTTTGCAGTTGTTCTCATTCTGAGTTGTGCCCCATCAGCAAATGAAGGTTCCAAAAGCTTTGTTCCAGCCACACCATTTACTTTAAGGAGGTAGCTCTTCACCAGTTGTATTTTGAGTGCCTTCCAGCCTGAGGGGGTAATCTTCTGGCACAATATCAGACAATGTTCTACTGCTACTCATAAGGTGTTCAATGGCTAACCATTCAGAAGTGGTCCACCTCTCCTTTGTCGGTCTTAGCTGGAAGCTCTTCTAAAACCTATCCACCATGGGTAACCCTGCTGGTACGGCACAGCTTCCAGCCATCAAAGCAACACACAATCCAACACAGGACAACAAACTGGCAGAGGAGTGGTGACATTCTTCTATACTAAGGGATTAAAAGCTGCACATTTCTTGGTACTTATTTTCATATCATTTATTCCTTTTGTTATCAGCAACTAAAATAAGTAACTCCTCAACAAGTTTGCATTCCGTTAATTATTTCAGATACTAGGGTGCATCTCTTTGAAATTCATGATCATTTTGTTTCTCATTAACTTAAGAAATTTTAAATTATAAAAGAGAGAGAGAAAGAGAAATTTCAATATAAAACATCCTCAATTCATAAAATTTAGAGCTTCATCTGGATCAGCTAGTGCTAACTTAGCTTCTTCATTTCATTTATAAGTAAGCCGATGGTAATATCTACCATTTTAAGGAGAAACCAAGTAGACTGGAAGGGTTATACAGCTCAAATCTCTATAGCTTACAAGCTGCATCTAGTAGGATGCAGTGTCAACGGTGTGGCTTGATATGTAGTGAGCAAATGAATACGTGAATAAATTAATGGAAAAATTTACAAGTATTCTAAATAATGATCACAAAGCTAGTTAATAGTAGAACCAGGATTAAAACCCCATTTCCCCCTCTTATTCCTTGAGATGTGTTCACAAGTTATACTATAGTTACATTATCAGTTCAGTTAGTTGTCAGAAGAGCAGCACTCTCACTGAAATCATTGGCCAACCTTAACAGTTTGGGGGCTTTTTTTTTTTTTCATCCCCCCCCCCCTTTTTTAGACATGCAAACAAAAGAATGAAAAGTGCCAAGTGGGATGACATAAGAAAATTGCACTGTAGCCAGATCAGACATAGAAAATGACAGAAAAAAGGTAGGCAGAGATGGCTCTGTGATTTTCTTCACACTCTCACCTGATGTAAGAAATATAAAAGGTACTAAGTTAGAACACATTAGCTGTCAAATCAACAATATTCCATTATAGGTACAGACTTCTAACAATGCAGCCATTTTGTAACCACATGCTTGACACCGTCCACACCAAAGGAACAAGATGCAGAAATGACCAGGAAAAGAAACATAATGTGATAATGGACACAGTATACTTACTCTTCCAGGAAGTGCTGCTGGGGTCCTATAATGGAGCCTGGCCGGCATATTCTGATCCAAGCAATGATTTCAGCATGCGTAAACCTGTAGTGTTTCATTACATAACAGGCGATCAATGTCCCTGTTCTTCCAAGACCAGCTAGAAGAGAGGAAACAGAGAGAAACAGAAAGTACAGCCAATGCACCCGTAAATACACTGAACACAAAGCCTGCCCAGAAATGGCAATCATTTTGAGTACAATGCAAGATTTTTAATCCCAGGCAATAAAGTAATGCTTTTTTGCATGATGCAAAGTTGAAAGATACTTTTAACTCAAGAAATCACTTTTATCACTCTAATTATTTTTATATATTACATCATGTTGTTGCTTGTTATTGTAGTTAGGTGTCATCAAGTCGGTACCGACTCATTGTGACCTTATGCTGCTAAGTGTGGACAAATCAGTTCTGACTATTAACAACCCTGTGTATGGTTTCTGAGACTATAAACCTTTGAGGGAGCAGAAAGTCTCATCTTTCTCCCAAGGAGCAGCTGGTGGGCTCACACCACTGACCTTGTTGCTAGCAGTCCAGTGCTTATCATACAGAGCCACCATGCTCCCATATGACATTATATCACATTATGTTTTATAAGAAAATTTTTTAAAAAAGTGATTTGAGAAACTACTGAGTTCAACGCCTGGCATGTTAGAGAATGCCTGTCATCATGAATACTCTAGGGCAATGCTGGATTCCGTGCTAATCACTTACAAAGTATCACCTATGAGATGTCTCCATGCTCTTAGTTGGTTGCAACCCAGACTGAGGTAAACCTACAGTTAACAATTCCTGTGTCCAACACTTGAGTGGGTGATATAACCAATTATATGATCAGTGAATGTATTATATAAGGAATAACAGAATTAAAGGTAATACGGAGTAAGGGCTCATAGAATCTAATACTATCAACCACCTAACCCACTACTGTTGCAATATCAGATGGTCATCCTAATCTCTGTTGAAGTCAACCAGGAATTCACGATTCCCTCAGCTAAGTGGATGCTGAAAGAATACCTACTACCTACCTGTCAAGTACTGCACTAGGGGCTGGGGATACAGAGACAAAAAATGGTCCCTGCCCTGGTAAGAACTGAGCAAATAAACAATTAGAAGTATTCATATTTCATTTCCTAAAGCCATCCATTTCATTTTTTAATAACATTCGTGTTAAAACATTTCTTCATATGAAACCTAATCTCTGTTATGTAAGATAGAGTATAACACAACTAGAAACCATTTTCAATTAAGCATTGATTACTATCTTGAATTGTGACTTCTTATTTCTTATATTTTTTTTCCTCTCTCCAGCAAATTAACAGAGATAGGACTTTAAATTTTGTCAATCTGTTTTTTCTTGGATATACATTTGATACCTCCTTTTCCAAAAATATGCAAAAATTTGATCAAGCTATATAACAAAACCAAACCCACTTCCGCTAAGTCTATTCCTATTCCTAGTGATCTTATGGTTTTCAAGACTGTACATCTTCATGAGAGCAGACAGATTCATCTTTCTTCTACAAAGCAGCTGGTAGATTTGACCCACAAATCTTGCGATTAGCAACCCAACACTTAAACCACAGTGTCAATAGGGCTCCTTCGAGCAAGTTATGAGTTCTAAAAATAGAGTGGTTGTTGTTCATATACCAGAACAACTGAGGCACAAAGACAATAAACAACTGATTGACATTCGTGTTACAAGTGAATATGAAATTGAGGACTAAAATCCAACAGGGATCCCAGAGTTCTTTTCAATCTACTTTCATCCATTCTGTCACTCAATTCAGAAATATTTCCTAAGAACAACTGTGTATAAGTACTATATAATACGTGCTGGGGCTATAAATATGAAGACAAGCAGGGTATCTGCCGCCTACCGGAGGCTTACAGTGCTCACAGGCAATGCTCAATTACATTGACTTTTTCTCTTTCCATATTTTGGCCTCTTGAAATTAAACTCAGTACTATATTGTTAATTTATTTATGAAGTACCACCCATGAGCAAGGTACAATGGAGGATTATTTTTTCACTGTTTAAAATCTGCTTGTATCTTAAAACACATTTTCTTATAGAAACAGAGAGTTTTTTTGTTTGTTTGTAAACTTTAGATTCAGCTAATGCTTCAGTGAGTCCTGCTGTGACACTGTGGGTTAATGCACTAGACTGCATAGTCAGTTTGAACTGCAAGGTTGGTGGTTCAAGCTCACCAGTCGCTCCTTGGAAACCCTCTAGAGGGTCGCAATGGGTCAGAACCAACTCAACGACACTTAGCTACAACAATAATGCTTCAGTGAAGCATTTATTCACTATCTACAAGATACCCAGAACAACGCTCTGTTTATAGCATAAGGATATAAGCAAGTATAGGATATAATTCTTGACCATGATAAGTTATCAAACTAGTTGTGGACACAAGAATATTAACCAAAAAAGTAAAGAATCTCAGTTTAATCTGAAACTGTACACTCAGGAAAAGGAAAAAAGAACATGAGCTTGATGTCTTCAGAGTGTGTCATGATGGCAATGGCCTTTAATGGGCTCTTTAGGTGTAGTGCTTTAGGATTAGCACTGGACTGGGAGTCACAAGGTCGGCAGTTCAAACCCACCAGCTGCTCCTCGGAAACCCTATACAGGATCGCACTGAGAAGGAACCAACTCGATGGCACTTAATAACAACAACAACAACAAAGAATAAGGCTCCTAGTATGATGCTGTAGAATCAGCACTGGACTGTGAATCCCAAGGTCGGCAATTCAAGCCCATCAGCTGCTCCTTAGAAATCCTATACAGGGTCACTGTGAGTTGGAACAGACTCAACAGGACTTAACAGCAACAACTACAAGGAATGAGCAATGAAGGCAGTGGTGATTCAGTGGTAGAATTCTCACATTCTAAAGGGAGACCCAGATTCTATTCCAACCCAGTACATCTCGTGTACAGCCACCACCTGTTTGTTAGTGGCGGCTTGCCTATGCAATGATGCGGAAAAGGCTTCAATACAGTTTTCAGACTAAGAAATACAGGAAGAAAGTTCTATGTCCAAAAATAAGTCAAAGAAAACCCAATGGATCACAACAATCTGATCAGCAACCCGTCTTAGCGAAGGCGCAAAATCAGATAGCATTTTGTTTTCATTTGTGCATGGGGTAGCCATGAGTTAGAGGCCTGCTCAATGACAGCTAACAACAAAGCATAGGTAGGTCACAAATCATCTAGGGCAGATGGATCAAATATGTGAAAGCCTGGCTGGTCTGTAAAACACATTGGTGTGTCATTTAGAAAATAAGATGGGATGAGTATGTAAGGCTAGATTAAAGAGGCCTCCAAGTCAAATGAGGGAATCTGTTCTTGAGTTACCAATCCATGAGTCATACACTGAAGGCTGCCAATTATTGTCAGGAGTCTCCAGATATGCGGTGCTTTGAGAACTAATTAAATCATGTCTACTACATATGGAGTCCTGGTGTGGTGCTGCTGGTTAATGCGCTGGACTGCAATATCTGTTTGACCCACAAGGTCGGCAGTTCAAGCTCACCAGTGGCTCCTTAGAAACACTATATAAGGTCACAATAAATCAGAATTGAGTCAATGGAACTTAACAACAACAACATATGTGTATTATTACTTCTCAAATAAGCCCTGGTGTGGCACTATAGGATAAGCACTGGACCACATGTTAGTTTAAACTATAAGGTCGTGGCTCCAAAGGCAATTTAAATCCACCAGCCATTCCTTATAAACCGTATACAGGGTCACTATGAGTTGAAACTGACTTGATGGCACTAAACAACAACAACAAAATACACGATGCTTTGATGAATAAAACCAACTCATTCAAAAAGCATAACTGAATTCATGATGCGAAAAACAATCAACACAACCACTATCATGTAAAAATCTGCATTTTTCTTTAGCCAATGAAAATGACAAAAATGAGATCACTGTATGTTTGGGGGCAAGACAGTGACCTGATGGACCCAGAAGCAGTGCACTGGTTAGAATGAAAGGACAGAGACTGGAACCAGAGAGAGGAGCTGAAAGGCAGAACAGGGAAGCAAGTTTGGTTGACAGGGATGAGAGTGGTCAGTGGGCATACAGTGGGCTGAAGTAGAAGGACATTTTGACTGCATCACAGGGAAAGTTAAAGGTCACTCACTGATAGTTCTGGTCTGAGAAACTGATGCACTGTTTTCATTTTAGTTAGAAAAGGAAAAGGGGAAAGCTGATGGGTTTATTTTTTTCTATGTTTAAAAAATCTCTGCTTACTATTGGTCTTTTTCCAATCCAGAGGAAAGCATAGGCATGAAAACAGAAACCCATGGAAACCATTAGGTCAGTGGACTAATGGACCATGTAGACATCAGTCTCCATGACTCTGAGACCAAAAGAACTAGATGGTGCCCAACTACTGCTACCAACGGCTCTGAAAGGGATCACATTAGAAGGTCCTAGATAAAGGGGGAGAAAAATGCAAAAAAAAACTCAAAATCACAAAACAGACCATATTTATTGGTCAGAGACTGGTAGGACCTCCAAGACTATGGCCTTTAGTCACCTTTCAGTTCTGGCACTGAACTCACCCCCATAACTCAATTTTCAGCCAAATAACAGAGAAATCTGTAAGGGAAACAAGAACCCTAGTGAAATACCCAGACCTTAGAATAATCAGCAATTTGAGATCAAGACTGTAGCATTTACCCAAAGATACAGTTAAGAAGGAGGACTGGAAGGAGAAAGGAAATGGAATAATTTATTACACTGAGGGGATTGTAATCAATGAAATGGAACAAAATTATGAATTATTGAATGCAAAACTGATGGTCTGCTCTGTTAACCTTCATCCAATTCAGAAGAAAAGTTAAAAAAAAATAAAATAAAAGATTTTCTGCTTTTGGAAGGGGTCCTTTTATCAGCATTCCTTTGTCAAATAATAAAGAGAATCTTTCTCATCTTCCCAGTACTTTAAAACATTCGATATTTCAGCAAATCTAAGACATCACTGTGAGCATCGTGGTTCCAAAGATTAAGCCACAAGATTGGCTGTTTGAGCTCACCAGTCACTCCACAGGATAAAGATGAGGCTTTCTGCTCGCATAAAAATTTAAAGCCTCAGAAACCCTAAATAGGGTACCTGTGAGTCAGAACAATTCAACGGCACACAACCACCATGTAACCCCTCACACATTTTTGGACTCCTGGTGTGGCGCTGTAGGATCAGCACTAGATTTTGAACCACAAGGTCAGCAGTTTCAAACCCACCAGCTGCTCCTCAGAAATCCTATACAAAGTTGCTATGAGTCAGAACCAACTCAAAGGCACTTAAGAACAACAAGAAAAAAATTTTCTGCCAATAAGACATTGACATGATATAAATTTTAAGATGCCTCTAATTTTCAGAAATGCTACACTATGAACAAGGTACTTCTCTAAATTAATGACTGAATCTTTTTACTTTTTTCACAATTGCTTCCATCAAGAGCCTCTTTTGACTTTCCCTCCCTCTAACTACCTCCTACCATGAAATTTTATTGCCACAATATACTGTACATCTGCTTATATGCTTTAGGTATATCTGTGTTTTATATATACACAAAGGAATAATATTTTTCCTCCCCTCTTCCCAAAACTTTTGCCTCCTGAAGAGGGGAGGGAGGCATATCTCCTGGGACTAAGATGTTGTTGTTATGTGCCGTGGAGTCGGTTCCGACTCATAGTGACCCTGTACAGGGTTTCTGAGGCTGTAAATCTTTACGGGAGCAGAAAGCCTAATCTTTCTCCCACGGAACAGCTGGTAGTTTTGTACTGCTGTCCCTAAGGTTCACAGCCCGATTCATAACCACTATACTACCAGAGCTCCTTTGGGACTAAGATAAAGATGGTATAATCCCACGACAGGTGACTGCCATTGCTTTCCTACAACTCTTCCTTTAAAACAAGATATGTAACACTGTTTTATTAGATGAGGTGTGTGTGTGTGTGTGTGTCCAGTTTTCATCTGGAGTACCTTTTCTCCCAGCGCGTACATACATCAACATTCTGTGGAAAAGAGTACATTGCACTATGATCTCAGTGGGCCTTTCTTTGCCTTTATGACTGAGAGTTAAGAGTAATCTGACTTTCTGTTTTTCCTCAGACATCTGACAAAGATGACAGGTAACCATGTAGACAAAATACAGACCAAGGGCCTAGAGCAGGAACAGAGCCCAGCTGGTTTCCAGAGTCCTTCCTACTTCAACTCACCAAGTCGTGTCTCTGGAGAGAAGAGGCCTTCGTGGAAGAACACACTAACTCCCACTGTTCCCTTCCCTCATGTGAGGGGCTGTTTCCCCCAGTTAGTTATGCTCCTAGTGATACGCACTCACAACCAAAAAGGGTGGTGCAGAAATTTTTCAAATTTCTCTGACACTAACGTCGCTTCCCCCTTTTAACAGAAATTAACCTCTTTACAGAGTCTGTAATTTAGATCTATAAAAAGAACCTACTTAGCACTCAATAGTTAGGTGCTCTTACCACAGTTGAACAGAAAAGGAACATTTCACTAAGTTTCTATAAAAACTTTAAAAATTTTTAAAGCATTCATAATTAAAGGGCTCCCTGGCACAGCACGACAAGACGCTGAAATGTACTCTATTTATATCAAGTCAAACAACAATTGCTTTACAGTTGCGGTGGTTTCTGAAATCCCTATAGAACATCAATCATCGCATACTTAAACATCACAATGTTCTCATTTTCTTAATCATTATATTTGCGCTAGAAATTTTTTTAAATTCACAGCCTTCCCTTTTATCAACTACAAGGTAAGTGTAGTTATTCAACCAATGCATATTTCACAGATTCCCAGTGAATTCGTTTTAGTTTGTCTCCATATATACTTTCTGTGGCGGCATCAATTATCCATTCTCTTTCAGAGTAGTTACCAAATTTCATTTGACATGGGATAAGATTCTCTCTCCCTCTTCCTTCTAGTTCAATTAAAGTAGTTAGTGCTGCTTGAATTACTAGAAAATTAAGATGACTTAATTAGGGCATATGTCAAAATAATTAACAGGCCTATGGTAGACAACTGTGCTATTAAAAGCAATACAGCTGTAATTAAATCAAAGGTATAATCCTTATAAAAGAATCCTACCTGTGTGTACAAGTGGAAGCAAATGAAATAATACTCTCATAAAAATGTTAATGACCCATAAATGTGACCTCGAGGCTAAATGTTCTAATTTTAAATAAAAAATATGCAAATCTCTGCAATAAAAAATAATGAATTTGTAAAACAACAACAGTCACAAGTCAAGTATATACAGTACAGAGAATACTAAACAGAAAGTTTCGTTGTTATAATGTTCCTTTGGTGAATATTGATATTGAGTTTTAATGTAAGATTAAAAGATGTACAGTTTCAATATAATCTTTGCATCTCTTCACCCTTGAATTTGTTAAGCTATGATACTCCAAAAAGTGTATGAGTTGGCCATCATAAAACTGACTGACAAAAAAATAAGGTAAATTAATCCCAGTAAAAATACTGATTTTTTAACACAAAACCAAACTTTGAAAGAGCATACAAGACCATCGGAAGCTGCGAGAGTCATATAAATTCTTAAACTCTACTGATATTTGAAATCATTAAAATTCCGGCTTTCTGTTGGACTGGGGCAAGCTTTGATGAAATGGGAGACTGTGAGTGGCAATGAACCACACCTGGGACAAGCTGTTCATCCCACTGTGACCTAACTAGAACCTGAAAAGCAGCACCTTTGTGAGCTACAGATGCCTTCCTAACAGAGCCACTGGACCCAAGATGGTAAGTCCCGCAAAATGAGTGCCCCATCCTGTTAGGAAAGGGGAGGGAGAAGGAGGCAGCTCTTCAGGAGTGGGTAATGCCTGCCTTCAGGAGCCCTCATCGAAATCAGGCCCAGTGCTGCATATTTCCATCTTCCCTGAGCTGCTCTCATGTTCAGTACAGTACTGCCACCTACTCACATCTTAAACATAGAAACAGGGGCCTACAGAATGGTATTTTAATTTTTTGTCAGAACCAAAGCCATGCTCGTGTGAATAAGTCAGTTCCAGCAGCACTAGGCACATGAAAAGAATGGTACAATCCCCAACACCTACATCAATTAACATAAAACATACCATTACTGTGCTATCGGAAACAAACCCATGAGAACAGCACCATCAAGTGGCCGGATGAAAAGCTGCATGTGAGGAACTGGAGGCTTCCTCCCTGAACCGCCAAAGTGATTTCTCACACTGAAATCTAAGACCCCAGCAAAATACCTTCCGACACCATGGACAATCTAAAATGGAATTTAAGCCTCCCCGCGGGAGAAAGATGAGGCTTTCTACTCCCGTAAAGATTTATACCCTCGGAAACCCTATACAGGGTCGCTATGGGTCGGAACCGACTCGATGGCACATAACAACAACAACAACAACAGAGTCTAACAAGAGGCCTGGTGTGGCGCTGTCGGATAAGCACTCGACCACAAGGTCAGTTTGAACCACATGGTCAGTGGTTCAAATTCACCAGCCGCTTCTCAGAAACCCCATACAGGGTCCCTATGAGTTGGAACTAAGTCAACGGCACTTATCAACAACAACAGAGCTTAACGACTAAGTTCAGATAAGTATAAGCAGACTAACATAGGGGAACCACATAAAATACACATAAAATACGTATATTTCACACAATATTTGAAATCTTAAACTAAAAAAAATCCGTTTTACCTAAAACGCAAATTTAGTTGGGTGTGTTGCATTTTTACTTGCTAAATCTGTAAACTGTACACTTCCTCAAAGGAAACATCAGCACAGATTCATTTACATAACCAAGTCTTTCACTTCACAGTGGCAGCAATACATGAGCTGCAAGTAAGCCAGCTCATTAACTCAGTATGTTGTAGTCCCCTGGTAATGGGCATGATAGACAGTCTTTTCCAAGATGCAAAAGACTAGTGGGCAGGAGGAGTGGTGGGTGAGAAGGGGACCACGAAGCTGGAGAAACAGTAACAACTAAAGTCCTTGGGTGGTGCAAGCAGTTAATAAGCCTGGATGCTAGCTGAAAGGTTGGAGGTTTGCATGTACCCAGAGGTTCCTAGGAAAAAAGGGCTGATGGTTTACTTCTGGAAAATCAGCCACTAAAAATCCTATGGAACACACACAGAGTCTCCAAGAGTTACTATTAACTCAACAGCAACTGGTTTAACTATCAGAGGGAATAGAAAGAAGAGATTGAAAAAGAGATCAGGAGATCGGGAATTCTGTAACAAAGGGAAAAAGAGGAAACAAAAGCCTTTAGCTCTTAACATTCTTACCTATTTAAAGGTTTTCCTGCCAGCCTGAGGACACTGTTGCTATCATTTGCATGCATTTGGCAGGGACTTGGTAAGGGCAAAACAAAAAAAATTTGCTTTGTCAAGCCAAGTTTAAAAAAAAAAGCTCTCTAAGGAGCCCTTGGGGAGCTGTGGGATGAGCCCTGGACTGCTAACTGCAATGCACCAAGAGATAAAGATGAGGCTGTCTGCTCTCATAGAGATTTACCATTCTTATTAAATGCCGTGGAGTCGGTCCCAACCCATAGCGACCCTGTACAGGGTTTCCGAGGAGCAACTGGTAAACTTTATCCATGGACATTATGTTTCAAACCAACTTTGCAGTCCAGTGCATTAACTCCAGAGCGCCACACCAATACTCCTGTAAAGATTTCCAGTCTCGGAAATCCTATAGTCACTATAAATCGTTTAAAGGGTTAAGTGGTTTTGTTTTCTAAGACTTGCTATTTTTCGGCTCACCCTCATTCGGAAATACAGACTTCAGGGGACCACAGAGGCCTCTCCCACGCACCTTTGCAGTGGACGGCGATTGCCCCATCCGTGTTCTCACATATGTTCAGGAACCTCCGCACGATGTTATCACTTGGTGTGCTGCCATCTATGAAGAACAGGTCATAGTGCTCGAAGCCAGCATCGGTGAAGCGCTTCGCCTCGTAAATCTTTTTATTAAGCCTCACGACTGCAGTCACATTATGCTTTTTGAAATAGGGAAAGTAAGCTTCTGGAGCGTGAAGGGGATAACCTAAAGGTTAAAAAAAAGGAAGAGAAAAAAAAAAAAAGGGCACTAAGCAAAATGCACATATTTCATCTGATAAAGCCCAAACACATAAACACCCTTAACAATACAATAAGGGTTGCAAATCTCAACAGAGCTGAGGAAAAAAGTGATTTCCTGAGAGACTAAGATGTCACAAAGCACTCTTAAAAGTAGCTGTCTAAATAACTGTATAAACTACTGAGGAAATGAAAAAAGCCCATCCTTCTGCTAAATTTTAGAAATCGCTCATGAAAGTTCAAAACTTCAACCTTAAGGTTCAAATCCTAGGAGCATCCCCCAAAACAACGGCATTTCTTTCTTTTTTTTTTTATTAAGTTTTTATTGTGAGGTTTACATGAACATCAGCTTTACACTCATCCTATCATATTTTGTTTCATTTCAATGATTATAATCCCCTCCACGCATCATCAAATAACCCCAAAGAGTACACCACAAAGGCCCGCCTGCCAACACACAGCCCCTTTCCCACCCTGAGGCTAGTGTCCCCAGCCACTCCATCTGTCCACATCATCATCTCTGTCTCCATGCCTGGCTTTACTGCCTCTCTGGGTAGGGTCACACTCTCCGTTCTTCTCACTTTAGGGTCCCTGGGACCTCAGCTCCTGAGCTACAAAATCAATCACTCCCCTCCTTTTGTCAAAAAACATCTACCTCTATATTTCCTATCCTCACAGTCAGTCCTGATGGCAATTATTCACTATTGTACCACAAGAATCTTATCCCCCATTTCCTTTCTCCAGCCTAGTCCCAACGAATGGAAATCATTCAGTGGTGATTCTACCTTCCCCTGCCCCATCTGGAACTAGGCTCCCTCTCGAAAGCTTGTAAGCCAGTCACTTCTTGCCCTTAAGACCCCTTATTTTGGGTAGCCAATGTCTGTGTTGCCCATCCCTGTCAACCCTGTGTACCCAGGGGGTGGGAGTGACCCTCGCTGTAAAGATTTCTTCCATTTTTTCAGCTACTACATCCATAAGTATAGGTAAAGTTCATCAAATTATAGCAGGTTACTCTTTTTTCCCCCTCTTCTTTCTTCTTCTAGTCGAGTTCTGATCATCCAGCCATTGAAGCCAGGACAGGTAGGTACTATCATATGGGTGTTCTTGTGCATTTCCCCTCACTTCATATCAGCTGGATGCTTCACTCTCCACTCTAGTTCTCTGTAGCCAGGCATTTCTTTTTAATTATGGCAAATGTATAGGTAACAAAACACTTGCTATGCCAACATATGCCATTCCTATCATACATACAATTTAGTAACATTCATTGTGCGCCTCATGGTGTGCACTGTGACCATCATTATCCATTTCCCAAATTTTTCTATCACCCAAAGCAGAAGCTGTGTCTCCTAAGCAAGCATTGAGTGCCCCTTCCCGCCTCCCTGCTAATTACAGGTCTGTATGCATCTGCCTGCCGCTCTGCAGGAGAAAGATGAGGCTTTCTACTCCCGTAAGGATTTACACCCTCGGAAACCCTTTACAGGGTCGCTTTGGGTCGGAACCGACTTGACGGCACTTAACAACAACAACAATGCATCTGCCTATTCTAGAAATTTCATTTACGTGGAATCATGCAAGATTTGTTCTTGTATGGCTGACATTTCACTCAACATGATGCTTCCAAGGTTCACCAAGTTGTAGCATGTATGAGAACATCAGTTTTCATTATGACTAAATAATATTCCATTGTATGTCTGTATCACATTTTGTTGATCCATTCATTTTTTGTTGGACATTTAGGTTGTTTCCAGCCCCAAGACACAAGCATTCTTGAAGCATTCAAACGTATAGGAAGACCAGGAATGAGTCTTTGTGATTTAGCTCCCCCTTGAACATTGTTCGTTTGACAAACAATTTTCAATAACAGTCAGAACCTTTGTACCAGAAGTATATTTTTAGTCTGTGGTACAATCAAAGGAGATGAATAATAATTATTAAACACAGATTTTCTACTATTTGGAGTTCCTGGGTGGCAGAAATAATTAAGTACTCTGCTACTAACTGAAAAGGCTGGGGCTTGAATCCACCCAGATGCACCTTGAAAGAAAGACCTGGCGATCTACTTCTGAAAAATAAACCCCTGAAATGATATGGAGCTCAGTTCTACTCTGACAACAGGTCACCGGTGAGTTAGAAATGGCACAATGGCAACTGGTGTATGTGCTAAAAAATTATATATCATTTCTCTTTTAACCCTTAAAACAACCTCTTAAATTCAAATTGGCTGGCCCCATCTGACAGACTGAGAAATGAAAAGAGGCTGAATAATATTTTTGTGGACACCTTTTGAGAAGAGAATAAGTGCTCAGCCTCTAAACCCAATTCTGTTTAGGGAGCTACAGAGTTAGCCAGATTACAGACATATGACGTAGACCAATCAGGCCCCAAGCACTACAAGACTTTCAAAGCACAGTGATTACTATATCTGTAAACCATTCAGAAAAACCCTAGTGGCACAGTGGTTAAGTGCTCAGCTGCTAACTGAAAGGCCGGCAGTTCAAACCCATCAATCACTCTTGGTGAGAAAACAGGTTGATCTGCTTCCGTAAACATTACAGCCTTGAAAACCCTATAGGGCAGTTCTACTCTGTCCTATAGGGTTCCTAGAAGTTGCAATCAACTCAGTGGAAATGACATTGGGTTTGGGGGGGTTTGGCTTGGGTTTGGTTTGGGGGCGAGTATGGTTCTTTTTAGTTTAAAACATTCAGGGCTCCCTGATTCACTGAATACAAAGGTTGTTGTTGTTAAGCGCTGTCGAGTAGGTTCCGATCCATAGCGACCCTGTATAGGGTTTCCGAGGAGCAGCTGGTGAGTTTGAACCACTGACCTTGCAATTCAAACAGCTTTGCAGTCCAGCACATTAACCCACAGCACCACACCAGGATAGGTAGCTGCTCTTATTCCAGATTCATTCATGGTGGTAGGTAGGCTCCATAAGTGGCAAGAGCAACAGCCAGGACAGTCAACCAGGCACTTCCTGCTCTGTATCTTTGACTCTATTTCCTGTGTCTCCAATTTGACTTAGCTGGTCATTTCCTCTTTTCTCTTAGCTCCAGTTCCAAGTCAAACCTCTGATATCCTGCTCTGTGATGCTGGCGCTGGAGCCCATATATTACACTTCACAGACTAGTTTTCTAGTCAGTTCTGAAAACGGAGACACTTCAGGCAACTGAAGATCAGAGAAGGAAGGAGTGGCTTGTTCCTCTTCTCCTGCCTGCATCACCTTAGCAGTAAAGACAGGAGCAGACAGAACGTCCAGCTTATTTCAAGCATACTTCAAACCAACCTCAATTCTCTAAAATACCAAGAATATACACTAGGTAGTAGTTTAGGTCCTGAGAAGGTCAGCCTAATGTGTACAAAAGTGCTGGAGTTCTTTGGAGAAAATTGTTAATCTCAATACACACTCACTTCAGAGACTGGAGCACAGCATCATGGTCTCCATTCCTCAGTCTCCAAATCAAACATGAGCTGTGTAGCATTCCTTCCCAAGATCCCAGCACCAGACCGCTGGCTTCTACTCAAAGCCTCAGGTTCTCTTTTGTTCCCCAACCTTAAAGGCAGTAGCTGTTTCCTGCATAAGGTTCTGGTTTCTTCAGTGTTGCTCTTTACTTGGTAGCCTTGTTCGTGACAAATTCCTTGTATTAAATTCCCTAGGTTCTAATACCTGTGTGGTTTCTATGTTGCTACTTGGACCCTGCTGATATAGTTTCTTCCTTGGATTCTGTTCCTTTTCTAAAACTTATCATGTGCCGTCAAGTAGGTTTTGACCCATAGTGACCCTGTATTTGGTTTCTGAGGAGGGACTGGTGAATTTGAATGGCTGACCTTGCAGTTCAAACCAACCTTTGTAGTTCAGTGCTTATCCTACAGTACTCCATTGATGTCTGTAAGTTATCCAGCTTACTTCCAATCAATGCCTATTTGGTTTAATTTACTAGTTAGTTCTGCTGACTGCAACCAAAAACTGTTAACTGGCACACCTGTCCAAGGGAGACAAGCAGAGGTAGAAGGCAGACCACCTAACCCACAGTCCTAATGAATGTTATTTTCATAAACCTTACTGTTTTTGAGCAAACAAGTAATACAGGTATTTATAAATTTTTGCATAGAAACAGTAAGTTACAAACACACATTTAGAAAAGAAGAATGCTTTCCTACTTGGAAAACTCACATGTGGTTTTCTAGCTGTTTTATTTGCTCAGATTATTTTCCATCAACAGATATATAACCTAAAGGCAAAAAGGACCATGGCTGGCAAGGTGAAATAATAAAAGCTTTTCAATCTTGTGTGAAATGGGAGGGAGAAGGACCTTCTGGGCTCCAACCATACCTTGCACCTCCACAATGGCACCTGTCTCTCAGTGGGCAAATGGCAAATGGTGTCTCTCACCCCCTCCCAACCCCATCCTCACACCCCCAACCCCTACCCAAGTCAATAATAACCTCTCTTTTCAAAAATGAATTTTAATCAGGAGTAAATGGCATTATAGATAAACGTAACTATTAAGGAAAACTATAAGTATCTTTGGAGTCCTGGTGTGACCACTGAGGGCTAACGCGTCAGGCAGCAAAGTCATTTGAACTGCAAGGACGGTGGTTCAAGCTCACCAGTTGCTCCTTGCAAACCCTATACATGGTCGCTCTGGGTCGGAATCGACTCGATGGCACTTAACAACAACAATATGAGTATCTTTAAGAAAAGAACACTGGACAGAACTGTCCACATATGGCAACAGAACACTGACATAAGAACAACAGTGATAATAAAAATAGCACCAAACATATATGGAGCACTTACTATGCACCAAGTACTATTCTAAGTGATTTGTGTGGTTTATCTCATTAAACCCAATGCTTGGAAAGTTCAACAGTCAGTGCACATAGAGCTAGTGAGAGGGAGAGCCGGGATGTAACTCTTGGAAGTCAGATTCCAGGAGTCCTGGTGTGGCACTGTAAGGCACGCAC